ACATTGGTAAATTAAAAAATTAAAAAATTAAAAAATCTATTAAATATAAAATTAAGTTTAAGGATGTATTGATTTTTTTAATTAAATAGATATAAAATTAAAATTTGAAGATAAAAAAATATATATATTAAACTTTAAAAATTAAATTTGTAAGAAATAAAAAGTGAAAAATAAACAGAGACAAGGATGGTGCTTCTTCTTCAGAATTTGGCCTTTTTCAGTACTACTCCGTGCTGTCTGTCAGCAAAGTATGCGCCAAGTTGTTGTCTCCAATTGAATTTGAATCAAATGCATTGGATTCAGATTCAATTCGTTTTAAATTCAATTATTTTTCCTATTTAATATCCTTCTTAAAAAAAAAAAACACTTTTAATTATTCATACTTAATTTTTATTTAAAAATGTGAAACCAAACAATAAATTTATATTGAATTATTAAATGTAAATTTCAAAATAACTTTAGGAAAAATATCTTAAATTTGCATCAAACTCGTTCATTAATTCTATATGGTTTCACGTAAGACAGTTATAACATCCACTATAGTTAATATTTAATTTTATCTTTTATAAGCTATAATATTTCTTAATTAAAGGACATTTCACGTCAATAGATTAAATGTGTTTGTTTCTTATGCTATATATATTTTAAATATTTTTAAATTTGAAATATCAATTCAATCTCTATACGTTGGTTTCATTCAATTTAGTCTTTATACATGCCCTACAAAATATAATATAAAATTAATTTTCAAAAGTATCTTATAGATCATGTATAAATTCATAAAATTAACTGATTTATTGAATAAATAGATAAAACCATGGATCAAATTTGTAATTTTAAAAGTTTCGAACCAAATAGCCACAAACTTATAATTTAACCAATAAAATATTATATATAACATATATCTATATCTATATATATATATAATTAGAGAAACTAACTTCCAAGATTATGATATTTTCCAATCCAAGAGATGTGTTTCTTCAAGGCAATGTCACGCTCTCACTTTCGCTGCAGCTTCCTTGATCTGTTCAATCGTGAAAACACCAAACATGTCGTCATCCCCGATCGCATTGATAGTAGCAAGTGCCAAATCGTCCACGCTGACAGGGGGGGCCAGAAAAACGTCAGAAGCTGGAATGGAATTTAGAGGTTTAATGAAGTTTCCCAAGGCGGACAGAATTTTTTCCACTGGTTCTCCAACCAAGTCCAGGGGAATCTCAAAGCCATCTACCCTCCTTTTTCCATATATGAAACCGGGCCTCAGTACAACTCCTGCAAATCAATGAACAATATGGCTTACTTAAAGTGAATAAGAAATTTCTGGACAGCTACGAGGGTTGTTCAGAAGTTTGACATATCGAAAAACATGATGGTTCTATGTTTAACCGTTCAGATGAGGATCATCTAGCAAGAACAAGAACAAAAGTTAGAGAGATTCATCCCAAAGGTTAGAGAGAACACCCTCTAAGAACAAAGTTCTATTTCAAATAATATTCAAAGAAAAAGAGGTTTTTTGTAGCCTTACAATAAATAAACAAAGAACTAATTAAGCATCAATCAACCCAAAATTAACAACTAGCCTAATTATCTAATCTCTCAACCTCCTATATCACTAATCATAGTTCATTGGGGCATGGGATGATACATCTTCACGAAGTATTTAAGTGAAAGAGTTTTTTACTTTATTGCCTACTTGGTTTATGAACAAAAATGCTGACCCCCAATGTGGGTCATTGTAAAAACTGGAAGGCACGTAGAAATTTACCAGATCTTGGAAATTTGGAGAGGACTGCAGACTCTGCTTCCCTCTTTCCAGTGAAGTATGAAGAGGAAAGTAGAAAAGAAGGTAGATTGTAATCGTGGACTGATATTAAGACAAACTTGGGAATTCCTGCCAGGAAGAAAAATCTTTAGAACAGTGCAGTTAACAATGTAACATGGATCATAAAATCACAAAAAATCCAACTGTGCAACAGAAATTTCGAACAAATAACCTCAAGTGCTGGGTTTTACAGACTTGAGAGGGTTGGAGCTAATTTCATAAAGATCAATAACAGGTTGTTACTAGTCAAAATGTGCAATCCAAAAACTGCTTACCAAAATCATGTGCAGCATTCACAGCCACAATGTTGGCCTCGCCATTAATTCTTTTCATCTGTTCCTCACTGCCAAAACCTCCAACTGTTGAGACCACCGCTGTAGCCCCAACAAGTACCTCATCCCAGTTGAGGTAGAAAACATCTCCTGAATCAAGAAGTTCATTTTTATACCCACATGTATGGAGAGGTGAATGGTTTATTTTTTGTATTTTATATGTATAAAAAGGAAGTGACTATTAACTCATTCATGACAATCAAGTACAAGCTTCTATACTATTTCCGTTTACACACTGCCTACGAATACCAAAAATTGTAGAACTTCCTAAATTCATCCAGAATACTGGATGTGAATTGTGATAATCGCTGCAAAGGGGTAAGGTGTTGTAACTAAACATATTAAAACGCAGAAATATTGACAAAGATGTAGACAATATAAGAAAGTTTGTCTCACATTTCTAATTGATATTGTCATCAGTAGACTATGTACAAAGGCGAGTGGATGCCAAAATGAGACTCGACATTATTTGAACCTTCCTCGTGACAACAGTCAGAGGGGAAATTCTTTTGTGCCTCAATTTGATCTTATGCTTGAAAATCGAAAAAAATTCCCTTGTTTCTTTCTTTGACATCCAAAAGCTGCATATGTTTTGAGAGTTTTTACAAATCTTACTCTCCATGTCTCCCTAATAAAGATCTACACTTGAAAATTTTGCCTTGAGCAAATGACTTTTTCCTTTTTCCACGATCTCCAGACATAAAAACCTTTGTCTGTAAAAAAGAATCTCTCACTTCTCAAGGACAAATCAAGATAATTGGAAAACTAACACTTAAACATGTAGTTCGTTGATGCAGCATTTATTCCATCTTTTTACTCGAGATATTCCTAAGTTCTATATTTTACCCACTGCCTGAATTCTTCTGATGAACCAGTTGATAAAAAAAATCCCAAAGTGCTGACACACCAAGAAAAAAAACTTGCCTGGAACCCAAGTAACTTGATCTACCCATGAACTTGAATAGGTTGGACGACCTGACCTGCATAATATGACGTTCGAATGAAACTGCATACAGGCAAAGGGGACATGAAGAGAGAATAAAATAACGTTAAATCGTTGCAGAACCTGCTAACACTAATAACTTCAATGCCCTTGGATACTGCCGCTTTGCATATGGCAGATCCAACGAATCCACTGCCTCCTATGACCACAACCTACTAAGATAAGCACACAGACAAAGTAGGAAATGGTCAATTAGCTGAAATGATGAAACAGAATTTACTACCAACCATGTGAAAAAATCAAAGGTACTGCTCTAACGCAGAGCATACCTTCTCACTTCTAACATCAGCCACTACATCTATAGTATTCGACTTATATTCATCACTCACTCCCGCGTCCGCATAGCTGCATCTAACTCCAAACATGCATGAACTGAAATATGACCAAACAAACCCTAATTACTAACAGATACAGTCTCAGTCGTACCATATTACGCCACTGAGAGCGCCACAAGCCACGAAATCGAAAAACGCGCGAAAATTCACGCAACAAATCGAACGCTAAACTAAACAAGCGATCGAATTAGAACAAACAACAGAAGAATAAACAAACCGGCTCTGTGAGTGGAAAGCGGAGCGAGGTCGGAACGATACTCTGGGGAGAACGACAGCTGAGGAAGCAGCAGGGGAGAAGAAAATCGACGCCATGTTGTGTGGAAATCCAAATGTGAACACTGAGTTACTATGCAATTGGAGCGTGGACGAGAGAAATGGAAGCTGGTGTATTGAGAAATTGAAGGGAGAAGAGTTTGGTTATGGGCTATGGCTGTGGATTTTTCTCGGCAGTTGCTGGTAGCAGACGCCCCTAAAACACTCGTCACAGATTTTCCACTCGAGGACGACGACGTTTAAACAAAATCAATTGTATAATAATACTACACGTTTGTGGTTCACTTTTTATTTAATTTTCTTTTTTCCTTTTAATTCATAAACCGTTAAATTTATCTAGTAAAAAAATTGTGTTCCAATAATTATAGTTAATTACTGATTTATTAATCATCATTAATACACACTTACTGACATTTAAAACGCTATTTTTTTTTAAATATTTCTTTATTAACCTTTGTTATTCACATATCATAATTTACTCTATTTTTCCGGCATTAGTGTATTCTGTCTATTAAAATATATATTTATATCATTTAATTAAAATTACATAATTTAAAAGAAAATTATAATGAATTATGTTTAAATTTAAATAATTTCATATTTCATTGTAATCAATAAACCATGTTTAAATTTTATTTATATTAATAATTTGAAGTTGGTATCAACTATATCTTACAAACTTATGACCATTAAAGAAAAAAATATATTTACGTTGATTGAACTAGAGATCTCGATGATTATTGCTATATAACATGATTTGTTGTCCTACTGACTCCGCTCCAATCTCTTAGTATACAAAGAAACAATCGACTTTGTCACAATCTTCTACCGAGGCTAATGTCAAGCTTTAGTCAATATCGCCTCAAATGCATATTAGATGTGATTGTCATTTGATTAGTCTCTTCTAAATATTGAGTTGCTGGTTTGTTTACTAAATCACCCTCGTCACATTATTTTACAAACATTAATATATTTTTTATTACAATTGTGTATTCTTGTAACATATTCTTCAGATAAAAAATAAAAAATAAAAAACTTTTGTAAATTTAAGTATTTCACCCACATATAAATGAGTATTTATTATTTTATAAAATATATTTGATATTAAATATTTATTTTTTTCTCGAATCTTATCGTTTAAGTCACGTTACAATGCCGAATTTAACCTTTAGCGAATATAAAACTCGTGTTTACATCGATTTGATACAGTCATTAAAATTGATGGGGCAAGAACTAAAACAATTAGAAACGAAAATTGGAGCGAACTCGTAATTCAACTTGATACCATCTCCCTCCATTTCTCTCTCACTCCCTCGCTGATCCTCTCGAACTCAAGTTTTGATGTAGTTCGGCTTCCCGCGAAGATTATTGATCTCGTAACTTTGGTCGTCTCCGGCTTCGATTCAGGTACTATCAATTCCACATTTCTCGATGTCTCATTATCACGTAGAACAGCAGCGAGTTTCTTTGACAATAAAAAAGAGATCAGATATTTTGAAAGTTTCTAGTAATTGTATTTCCTTGCTAATCGGAATTCTCTATTCTTTAGATAATATTGTCTCCTATTGCGCATGCTAGGAGTGAAGTCTCATTTCGTGCTAAAGGTTCAACATAAATAGGTTCATTCAAACTTAATTCTTCGGTTCGTCAGTCAAAATTATATCTAGTCATTGTAGAGTATGGACGATTAGAAAGAGCTATTGCGGTTTCAGGAGAAAAATAGTTCACGCAGTGGAATTTCAATTTTCTAGACTGAACGCATGATTTATCGACGGAACAAAAATATCGAGCTGTTATTTCGTCCGCAGAGCATCATTCTCTGCTATGATCTACTCACTGAATTTTATTTGTTTATACCTGCAATCTTACATTTTTGAAGTAATGCGGTTATGTACTTCTATGAAAAGTTGCTTAGTGATAGAAAATCAAGATATGTTTTCGTGATAAGTGGCATATTTTGGGAAGAGAAGAATGCATTCTCCAGAGTTGGATTAAATTTTTATGAAGAGATGGTGCATAATTTCCTTGCATGACTGAGCAAACCTGAATGTTGATCATATCTTATTGTGCCAATTCCGTTGCTAGAATGCTTCAAATATCAATAGACTGTTAACCTTCTCAGGTATTTGGGAATTTAGATTTTGAATTTCATCATAAGTGTTCGTAAAAGAAAAAATCATTATAATTTTCTCGCACGTTCAACTTCTGATGAACAGGCTGTGTTCATGGCTGTTGCTGTATTCGTCCCGTTTAACTCTTATGTTTCAGGAGTGCTTTTTTGTGTAGGGTCCGCTGTCCTTGCTGGTGAGTACTATAGATGTTTTACTATCTTAAAGGGAAACTATCCATATGAAGACAGAGACAATTCGCGGTTCTGTCTTATAGCTGCAGTTTGTCTCCGCATTCAAGTGAAGAAGACGAGGAACTCAAGGTAACTCTTACGCTCTACTCTTGTTTTAACCACTGGATATGTATGTGTCGAATCATTTTGACCAGAAAAATAGTTTGATGTATTGTCTATTATACTTCTTGAGAAAATACTTTTTAAGGACCTGTCATTTAAAGCATGTGAAAAGCCACAAAGTTGGATGAGTGAAGGAGAAATACTATTACAGAAATTCGCTCAACTTGCTTCGGCAATTCATTCATATTGAGCTACACAGCCAAAAGCCAATAACACCTGAATACGTATCATAGGGCTATAAGTTGAAACAATAACAGCAAAAGGGAGAAACATCTATAAAATGCAAAGATAAGGCAGCTAAATTGAACTGAGTGGGAATCTGGTGAGTTGGTGGGGGATCTTTAAGTTTACTGCCATTGAGTATTCTTTGGTCAGTGGCTTATAGAACTGAGTGGACATCTGGTAAGTTCTCATCAGCCCACAAAACTTTTGCTTTACCATGCAGCTTCCAGCAGAACAGGATTTCATGTAGCAAGGAACTAATTTCTGTAGGACAGCTCCACTCAAACCCAAAAGTACGACAAAGTAATTTTCAGCCTTTACGTCACACTAGCAGTGAAGGAGGAGAAGGTCCATGGACTCTTCAATTAAGTAAAATCCTTAGAAAATATTATGACCGATTTCCTGTGGGAAGGGGTGGATGAGGTAGGATTGGGCATCTGATGAGTTGGTGGGGAACTCTCTATATCTTGAGGGGCTTGAGTTGGAAAATTTAAGAATTTGCAACAAAGCTTTGGCTAAAGGATTTTAGCAGCTCCCCCTCGAACCCCAACATCCTTTGGCATAGGTTCGTTAAATCTCTCCCCGGGTGATGCGTCGGTTTTTTCTTATCTATAGAATGCGAAAGTTCCAAAGTATGTACAATTCTTCGTTGGTAGGTCATCCCTGCAAGAATAAATACTTTAGATTAGCTCTCGCAAAAGATGCCTTCTTTGATTGATACATTTTGCTGCATTTTGTGTTAGATGGAGGAGGAAGACCTTGACAATATTCTTTGGAGTTGTGACTTTGCTGGGTCTACATGGACTCGTTCTTTGAGGTGTTTGACCTGCAATTTGCTAATCACAAAGGTCTTCAAGAGATGATTAAGGAGTTCTTTCCCCAACCATAGTTTCAGGAGATGAGATTTTTGTGGTAGGGTAGAATTTGTACCGTGTTTGCGAGGTAAGAGGAAAACTAGGACCTTTAGATGGCTAGAGGGGGATCCAGCGTCGGGGTCATGTTGTTTTGTAATTATTCATTTGTATGCCTTTTTATCCTTCTTTCTCTTTTCTCAATGAAAATTCAACTCTTTATATATATATAAAAACTTCTATTAACGTTGTGATTACCTTGTTTTGGTCTTCGGTGATGAATAAGTTGAAATTCTATATCAGTTTTTTAATATTGGGGAAAATGAGAGTTTGGTTTAAAAGCAAAAGATGTAGACCACTTCAAATTTGGAATCGTTCCAAATCTTATTATAATGAAGAAAAAGCTCCACTAAAGAGTTTAGTATAAAAACAAAAGATGTGGACCACTTCAAATTTGGAATTGTGAAAGATTACAGTGAAGAAAAAGTTCCACAAGTTTTGGCATTCAAAAAACAACCTGAAATTGATTTAGTGGTTTTATATCTCTTTCCATTGACCATAAGTTCAACTGTTGGACATTTAAAAATTCTGAGTTTCTTTTGTCCATTTCGTACGCATGTTTGCAGGTTTCCCATCCAGAGCGAGCTTTTGCAGATTTTGTTCTCTCCATTCTGTTACTTACTGCATCTGATGATTATGAATTTCTTGGTTAAAATTGGCTAACCTTTGGTTTTGCTTCGAGTCTTCTACCTTCTTTCATCGAACTTCTAACATTAGACATAGCTCGAAGTTGTTCTTGTGCCATTTTAACACTAGTCAAAAGATTTGATCTATTCTTGCACTGTTTTTAATGCGATGGACATATTTAAACTTCTGACAGGAAAATCTTGGTGAGTTTCCCCCCTTTTGCCCCTTACATGTTCACTATTTCCCAAATTGTCCTCCGGCTGTCTTCTTGACTTAATATGAAATTCCCATAGATCGTTGTATTTAGAATGACTTTTCATGTGGTTTAAAGGTGTTCTTAAGTGGAAAAAACTAAGCTTTTCTCTCTTTCTCCTTCTTATATGTAAAATTTTAATGGTAAGAAATTATTGATAGCACGAACAATATCTTCAAATGATTATTTAATTATGAATTAACTTTTTGATATTGTCGATAAGATGTCATTAATCTTACTAAGAGAGGAAAATCACAAATCTTTCTTCTCCAAATTCGCTCGTTAATTTTTTGTTCTTCATATATGTGGTGCAGGTAACTCGTTTGGCTGGAGAATCCTTGATGCTTAGAGAGGAGGGGTATTGACTCGTCTTCAATCTTTTGCTTAACAAAGGTGAGTTTGAAATTCTCTCCAATTATTTGACCCAATACATATTTTGGAAATTTTGACTTTTAACCCGTCAAACTAAGGAAAAGGAAAAAAAAAAAAAAAAAAGGAATATTGATTTTTTTTTTTTTTAAACAGAAAAAAGCTCTCATAATCTCGATAACACCCCACGGGTATTTTAATTCCTAGAGAAATCCTAGAGTGGATAAAATTCTCTTGCTTCATATAAATTTATGTTAGAAGTACGATAATTTGATGGCTGAGGTAAGGTATAATTAATTTCTCTATTATTATCTCAAAAATTATATAGGATAGATACATTTTCTACCCTCAAATTCACTAGCCTAATCTAATGGCATTATCTCAACACTTTTCTTTATATTTTTAAAAAAGTTTAATTCTCACACTTACATTAGGTTCCAAAAATTTAATTAAAACCAACTTCTTCAAACATGGTCCCCGGCTCTACAACACCAACTTGATGAATTTTTGTTTTATCATAATAATTATTATTTTTAAATACTCAACTCTGTTTATTTATTTATTTTTGAACAGTTGGCTTTGTTTATTAGTAGATAGTCCTTTTCTCATATGCGTAGCCTTTCTTAAGAGAAGAATGTGCATTGAATTTATCATCGCATTCAGGTCATTTCAAAATATTAGCAAAGCTTATCCATTGACTCTAAAACGTGGAACTAAAATAATACTCTAAAAAAGGAAGTCTGGTAATAAAATGATGAAAAAAAAAAAATTCATGAACACGACTCTTCACATGTTGTCCACTTTGAACATAAGCTCTCGTGACTGTACTTTGGGCTTCCCCAAAAGGCATCATACCAATAGAGATAGTATTTCTTGATTATAAACCCATGATCATTCGCTTAATTAGCCGACGTGGGACTTTCATCATCCAACACCTCCCTTCAAATAAAGTACGTCTCCCCTTAATCGAGACTTAACTCTTTTTCTTTTAGAGTCCTTTGTTTGACATTTGAGGATTTACCAATCTATTGACATGGTTAAGTTTAGGGCATGACTCTGATACTATGTTAGACGAACATGATTCTCCACAATGGTATGATATTGTCCACTTTAAGTATAAACTCTTATGACTTTGCTTTGAGCTTCTCCAAGAGACCTTATACCAATTGAGATAATATTATTTGATTATAAACTATGATCATTCCCTAAATTAGCCGAGGTGTGTATCTTATCATCCAATATTCATTAGCTTATTTCCTAGTAATGTGTGTTTTAAGGGTTTATCTTGAATAAGTTTTTTCTCTCTCATCAATAAATACAATACATTGCGATAAATATTATTTTAAAACTTTCAATAATATTCAAAAGACAAAATTCTACTAAACTTATTGGTTTCTGAATATTTAAAAATAGCAAGATGAGATAAGCTTAAAATTATAGAATCAATTAAAGACAAAATTAAAATATTTAAAAATTATTGCGATTTTAAAATTAAAGAAAATGAGCTTGCAAGTATAAAGATCTGCATTTATTTATACGCCGTCAAACTGGAACAGCGAAAAAGAGAAAAAGGAAAAAGAAAATAAAGTCTTCCTTCGTTTCCACTCTATCCGAATTCCCTTAAAATATCCGACGTCGTTTTGAAACGCACGTGCGGGAAACAGAGGGAAAAAGAGTTAATTCACCCAATCCTCTTTCGCACCAAGACTTGTATTTCGTTTGGTTTGGTTTCGATTGTTCTTTGAAACGCCCTCTGGATCATTACGTACTTCTCCTCCTCCTCCACTTATTATCTCCATTTTCCTCTTACTATGTTTATCCTCTCTTCTTCTTCTTCTACTCTTCCATCAGCACCTCCTTTCTCCTCCACGACCTCCATTTTTCTCTCCTTCTCTAGGGTTTCTCTTCCTCCCTCCTCCTCTTCTCTCAAGCTCCTTCCCCTTTCTCTGCAATTCGGACCTCCCAAGCTTGCCTCCTCGTGCTCGCTTCGGTTTTCCGCTTCCAGAGCAATGGCGGAGCTTATCCAGGATAAGGAGTCCGCCCAGAGTGCTGCCACCGCTGCTGCTGCTAGCTCCGGTTATGAAAGACGGAATGAGCCGGCTCACTCCCGCAAATTTCTCGATGTTCGCTCTGAAGAAGGTATGCCTTCTTCTCCGTTTTTTTTTCTTTTTCTTTTTGTGTTTGTAAGGTGGCATTCATGGGATGGTGATTTGTTTGCTGGGTGGGTTGGGTTGGGTTGTTTTGTTTTGTTTGATCCTTTCTTCCTTTTTGGCGCTCCCTGCTTTCTGTTGAGCTTCTTGTGATTTCACAGGAATGCGAAGAACTCTTATGTGTGTGAGTGTGTGTTGCTTTCTTTTCCCTTCATCTTAATGTAGTTATATAATTGTAACATAGTGTTATTATTGTTATGATTGGATTGCGAAAGGGAAAATAATTAGAAAGCGCTTCGTAAAAGCTGCAGCAGTCTCCCATGATTATGAGTGAACTTCCACTAGATCCATTCATAGGATTCTAATGTACTTCAGTTCACTCTTTGATGGTTGGTCCAATTTCGTTTCAGATTTTGTGGTGTCTGAGGTGTCTATTCTTTAAAAGGAAAAAGGGATTTTAGTGAGCTGGGGAAGACTATTTCTTACATTTGCACCCCCAAAAAAAAAAAAAAAAAAAAATTATTCGACCCTTTATTGTCTTCTTGTCCCTCATCTGGGTGTTGTCACTTGTCAGCATCCACCATCCTTCTTGTGCCTTGTCTTGGGATATTTCAGATTTGATAGTGTACTTTGTTTAAGTTATTAGTCTGAGGCAATGATACCCCCTCCCACCCTCTGTGTTATAGAACCACGTAGTTGTAATACTGGAATTTTTTGTTTGAGGGACGGTGCATTCTTCCTGATCAGAGAGAATTTTGGGCAGAAGAGAGAACTGCTTTAAATTTGGGGATGTGTACGACTACCCTCATGTTTATCATGATTTTCTAGTCGTAGTTAATGAGGATGTTTAATCCTATCATTTGATTGTTTTTTTTTTTTTTTTGTCGCCACAAATTCTTGTTGTTTTACGTATCAGACACTAATATTGCTTTTTTAGACTTCTTGTGTTTCTTATTGTATTTTTGAGTAAAACACTTTTTTTTTTAAATTTTTTTTTTAAAAAACCATCTTGTAAAGGCAACATGCACGATGTTGATTTATCTTATCTGCAGAGTTGCTCTCCTGCATCAAGAAGGAAACAGAAGCTGGAAAGCTGCCTCCAAATGTTGCTGCAGGAATGGAAGAATTGTATCAGAATTATAGAAATGCTGTAAAAATTCTCTCTCAATCTTTGTTGTTTTTTTTTTCCTTAATACATCCTTCAGATGTATTATTTTGTTTGATGGGCATTCTTCCAATCTATCATATTCACTTGTTTTCATTATCTTATTTATTTTGATCTTTGCTTTTGACTTGTACCTAGTAATCTGGAGCCTAGACTGATGAAATAGAGAGGGCCATCATCGCTATTAGCATTGAAATAAAAGTTCTTTATTCTAATTTTGTTTATTTGCAGTATTCTTTTGGATATCTTGATTAATTTTGAAGGAATTCATTGCTACATTGATTAATTTCAAAGTTTCCATGCCTTAATTTTGTAATTCTAGTTGTTAGAGGAGTCTAATTCCAACAAGTACCATCGGAAATGATTATAGTTTGCATTGAGAACAAACTGATGAGCTACATGAATACAGCTATTGTAATGAGGCAGATTGTACGTGCGTCATTTAAGATAACTAGAACACCTACTCCTATTATTTATTTACTTATTATTATTATTTTAATAAGAGACATAAGGTGCTTTCATTAACCAAAATCAAGAAACGCCCAAGGGTGGGGGTAGAACCCCCTCCTATAAAGATCTACATGAGAGTCTACTCATATTATTAAGGCCTTTATATTCTTGACTAGAGGTTATATCGGTTGGTTCTTTGTAACTTAACCTCTTAAAATTTTTGACCTACTGTACTCTACTCCATGTTCTTCAGCTTTAAATTTCTCGTACTAGGTCTGGGATATAACCTGCTTTATCTTACGGATTAAATTTTACAGTTTAATTTATTTTTGTAAAGTCTGTCTAAAACCGGTAGAATGTTCTCATAATAAAGATGCAATAATTGTTTGAAGCGCACAAATCCTTAGAAAATGAAATTTAGGTGTTGGATCATACAGTGAAGGGATGGGACTGGAATGTCTTTGGTTCTATGCCATCGTGCATTTTAAAGTATTTATTGAGTATCCTTTATTTTCAGGTTATTGAGAGTGGAAATCCAAAGGCAGATGAAATTGTTCTGTCTAACATGACTGTTGCATTAGATCGCATATTGTTGGATGTGGAGGTAATACTTAATTTCATATCAACTTACATTATGTCAAAGCTTTTAAGAAAGCAACTGAATGACCTCTTGTCTGAGACATAGCAGTAATATTTCAGGATCCTTTTGTCTTCTCATCACACCACAAAGCAATTCGAGAGCCTTTTGATTACTACATTTTTGGCCAGAACTATATACGGCCATTGATTGATTTTGGGTAAGCTGGAAATTTGGTCTTACAATCCTTATCGGATCTGCTGTGGTCCACTGTTTACACTCGTTACAAGAAACTGCATGTTCTTTTTAGATGCCATCACAGTTTGTCAATTTTCGTTAATTATTTTTTCTTGTGATATATGCCACTTTTTTTTTATTGTTATTATTTATTTTCCTAATCTGGGCTGTTCTTGTGATCAAATGAAAACATGTTCTGATAAAAGTTTTATGAACAATTTAAAAATCGATGCAAGTGTTGATAGTGAAAGCAGTCTTCTCTATTATCAATTTAAGTTATTTCTTAACTTAACCGTCTGCTTTTTTCCTGTTTGTTTGACCTCTTTCCTGAAGCTTTATAGACAATTTTATGCAGAAATTCATTCGTTGGTAACCTTTCTCTTTTCAAGGATATAGAAGAGAAGCTTCAGCAGGTATCTATCTACAACTTCCTCTTTATCATGTGATGAAATTGGGGCTAATTTTACTGATCATTGCTTAAGTTTTATTTATAATCTCAATAATGCGAAGATAAGTCATAAATCTCCCTCACTAGTTAAACTTTCACGTTCAAATGTCTTGATTCTTTAATTGCCATATCCAAGTATCAAAAAAATCTAACAGCTTTTAAATATATTGATTTTTCTCTCTTTCCTTTTCCTTTTTGTGCTTTTAAATTTGATTGTGGCTCACGATTGGCATAAGTCTGCATATCGTTCATGTCTTGATATGCTTATTCCTAGCACCCTTCTTAGTTCATGTCTTGTTTCTCTTTTGTGACTTCTAAAACTTTATTTCTTCCACTTTGTTGCTATATTAAAAGCCTCTTATTGTTCGTGACATTCATTTCAGGGTCACAATGTTGTCTTGATATCAAATCATCAGACTGAAGCAGATCCAGCTATCATTTCATTGTTGCTTGAAAAGACAAACCCATATATTGCAGAAAACACGGTAGGCCTATTTCTTTTCAGTATATGTCAACAGTGTTAAGCTAAAATGTTGGATTTTCTTTTATATCTTTTGTGATATTGATTTTGTATCATGTATACATTTCTCATGTCCTATTTCTTTTCTTATTGGTTGATGATCTTTCTTCTAAATAAGATGACTTTTTAGTTGTTTTGTGTGTAAGAAGTAATACAATACTATTCTTCTTCCCTAAATTCAAGTTGATATCAGAGCAACAATCCTCAGTGGTCTTTAGAAACCCTAGCCACTATCTAAAAGAAATTCAATAGTATTATTCTTCTTTCCTAAATTCAAGTTAAAAGTTTTGACGGAATTTAATACCTGCTGGCATAAATGAGTTTTTTCTGTCTTGCAGATCTTTGTGGCAGGGGATAGAGTTCTTGCAGACCCTCTTTGCAAGCCCTTCAGCATTGGAAGGTTCGAATATATTTTTCCTTGCTATTTATTTGATTGTATAGATCTTATTGTTTAACGAGATCAACTCAAGTTTCAAATGCATTATTTAGGAATCTTATTTGTGTTTATTCAAAAAAGCACATGTTCGATATTCCTGAGCTCACAGAAACAAAAAGGAAAGCAAACACACGAAGTCTTAAGGAGATGGCTTTACTCTTAAGGTACCTATACCATGTTAACAGCTGAGGGAAAAAAAGTTGATTTTCTTTGCTGTGTTTTACCTGTCGTGAAGTTGTGGATTCTAAATAAGCCTCAAAATGTTCTCTCCTATTTTCCATTTATAAGCTTTCATTACCGATAAATTTATGTAGAGGTGGATCACAACTAATATGGATTGCACCCAGTGGTGGTAGGGACCGGCCGGATCCCTCGACTGGAGAATGGTACCCAGTAAGTTCTCTATACCTTGAGTAAAGACAAATATACATGCATATCTAGTTTCTAGTTGCAGTAATCAATTTTTTTCATTTATTTAGTTTTAAAGTGTTTTCAAGTAGTGCTTTTATTCTTGTCTGTGGTTAGTGTAACGGTTTTCTGGTTTCATGCACATAACATAAAAATAACAATTGAAAGGGGAATACTGAACTGTAGCTGAATCTAGTGGTGTGCTCATGGCTGAAATTGTTCTGGTGGACTGTACTGTTTGTAATATGATCAATTACGATGATCTGGTACAAGAGAATGTTTCACCACCTATAAAAATTTAAACAAACTAACAAAATTGGAGTTTCAAGCTGGAAATTCTCTTAACTGAATAAGGACATAAGCTTACAATTTTATGAATAATAGCAACTCACTTTGGAGACCAGCAAGCAAGTCGTTTAGATAGAAGCTACTGGACGTCTTCAATATCCACTTGGCCTTCCCTCAACTGTTTAAAGACATTTTCGAAATTCTGTTGGCTGTTGTTTTTTTAACATAAGGGTATTGGTTTGTGGTTGAATACAGTCGAGGAAACTTTTTGGCCTGTCTTGGTTAGAAGATTTTCACAATATTAAGGAGTGAATGAGGTGTGGGGTATCATAGTTCTGTGGCCTCCTCTTGGAGTGCCAGGTCAGTAGAAACTTTGTAATTGTTCCCCTTCACACATTATCTTTAATTGAAGAGTTTTCTTCTACTCCTTTGGAACTTGAGAAAACTCCCCTTTCTGTACATCTCATTCTTTAAATTAATTTATTTCTATAGTAAAAATGACCAGTAAAAGCCTGTTCTCTACGCCATTTTCAACACTTCACTCATCATTTCATCATCATTTCATGTGTGCTCGAATCTCTTTTAGTTCATTTTATGTCTTTGAAAATAATGTTAAATTTTTTTTATAAGAACATAGTAGTTCGTACTGATATTAGAGGGTCAGGCACCCTTTGATGCTTCTTCAGTGGACAACATGAGAAGGCTTATTCAACATTCGGATGTTCCTGGGCATTTGTTTCCCCTTGCTTTATTATGTCATGACATCATGCCCCCTCCCTCACAGGTATATTTATCCCTTTTATTCATTTCTAATATGATTATTTTTTCATTTACGAACTCTTTTGCTTTTTTTCCAGGTCGAAATTGAAATTGGAGAAAAAAGAGTGATTGCCTTTAATGGGGCGGGTTTGTCTGTGGCTCCTGAAATCAGCTTCGAGGAAATTGCTGCTACCCACAAAAATCCTGAGGAGGTCTGTCTGATCTTTAAATTTTTCAAGTGTGAGAGCTAGTAAAATATGCTAGGTGTACTACTACAAATTTTCAAAGCGAATTATACTATTAAATCTAAAAGAGTGAGAGATAGATATTGGAAATAAATAATTTTATCTCTAAACTTCAAGCTTGCTTTCAAGTGTTAAATTTTTCTATGCGGAACCGTGTCAATGTAGTCGTATGTTAGCACACCATTACAATGGCTTTTGTTTTCATTTTCTGGAAGTTGAATAACTGAAGATCACAAGAAATTATTTCTTTTGTACAAAAGTCGAATGGGAAGCAATGACCACTTTGCACAAACTGTCACTAACTACTTTCAGCTGAAATATAAAGGAATTGATCAAGGTCAATGAAGTTATATCAAATATTACAAATCACTGGTCAACCAAGAAGACTGTAGAAAGCGCATGGAAAACTATTCAAGCTCCATTTACCGTGTTTTTGTGATGTCGAAAGAACAATATTAGGATTATATCCGGGTTGTTTCTCACCGAACAGGTCGATTTCTTTGGCAGGTTAGGGAGGCATACTCAAAGGCACTGTTTGATTCTGTGGCCATGCAATACAATGTGCTCAAAACGGCTATCTCCGGCAAACAAGGACTAGGAGCTTCAACTGCGGATGTCTCTTTGTCACAACCTTGGTAGTCATTTGCAATCATTTTTCAACATCAATTCATTTGGTAATCAGGTACTTCAAATTTTTATTTCCAAGAACACAATTGAATTAACTACTGATATTCTCTGGAAATCTTGGAATATGATAGGAAAATCGTTATCATCATCAATGTTTATGGTATGATGTGGATACTAATTCTCAATATATAATAACTATGAAAACCATTTTTTTAAATTGCGGATGTACAAAGTACCAAAAGAAGATTTAGGAACCAACTTCTACATCGACTTTTGTACCTTTTTTTTTTTTTTTTTTTATTTGGTAAGAA